TTTATGAGATAAAGAAATTCTTTCTGAAAATGAAAATTTGATCATCCACAATATACATATATTTGAAATTATGAAAATTCTACTCATCTTATATATTCTGTAGAATATTACAATTATATAACAACTATCAAAATAGATAAGTGATCTTTTAAAGTCTGAGGTTTGTTCGAATATAGGCTACTTTCTTTCCGGCCACTAATTAAACAAATACTCTCGTTTTTTTTTTTTTTTTTAGCCTTATACCAAAAAATACATATATATCAAATCCTTCCCCTCCATATCATGATATCACTTCATCTAAAATCCCATAATAAAGTCATCTCATTTTCTGAGATATATAAATTTCTTTTTCTATTTATAATCATATATATATATATATGTGAATATATAATCGTTTTTTATGCCTTAGAATATATATTTAGATTTAAATTTACATGACACCCTGACAAAATAGAAATGCTCACTTTTGTTCAAAAATTAGTAATCTTAGCTTCTCTTTCAAGCTTACAATTTTATATCAGTCCTAATCCTAATCATCCTAATCTTAATCGTAATACTCATCTTTATTACAAAAGCATAGTAATAGTTAATGAGATACGAAAGTGAAGGGTCGCTTCCACTGATATATTAAACATTATGCCTGGATCTCACTATAATCTATATAGGTATCATACCCAAAATAACCCAATCCTGTATCGTGCCGTGAGCAAGATACATTCAAAAACTAGAATACCTGGATAGAACCACTCCAAACATCCAAATCAAAGTGTAACAATACCAACAGTCCCTTGGAAAGCAGCATCTATGACAGGATCATGCCGCATAACCGTCGTTTCAATTTCGTTTTCAGATAGGACTACATCGCATCATACATGTTTGAAAGCGTTTTATAAGGTGCCCCTATCTCGTCCCCTAGCAGAGCGAATTCCGACAAATACATTATTGCAAGGAGGTATCTCGTTTTCGACCACTATAGCTTAACACAAATAGAAGCCGTCGCTTCTATACACATACATATGTACAGACAATATCGATCTGTTTTCAGTGACGAACTGCTATCAAGCTGTGAATGAATCACGTGTGATAAGTTCAGGATAGTTCGTACAATAACTATGAAACACCCCCTTCAGGAAACTATGAGAAATATCGAGAAATCCGTATTCCGTGCAGCACCCAAAACAAGTTCATGTTGTGTCTGTCCTGTGCCTTGTCTGCGCGCTAGGGTCGCTTTGTTCCACCATTGCGTGCCTTGGCGGAAGGGCAGCTGCTTGTAAGAAACCTAATAATATTATTATCATATTATCATTCTATTTCTATTATGTTAGGATATTAGTATTATTATATTGTTATTATTATATTATTATTATTAATAATATTATTATTATATTGTTACATTATTATATTACTATACTATGTATGATATTAATATATGTTATAATACTACATTATTATATTATTATTATATTAAATTATTATATTATTATATTATTATATTATTATATTATTATATTATTATATTATTATATTATCATATTATCATATTATCGTATTATCATATTATTATATTATTATATTTTATATTAATATATATTTATATATTATAATATTATATTATTATATTATTATATTATTATATTATTACATTATTACATTATTATATTGTTATATTTTTATATTATTATATTATTATATTATTTTGTTATTATACTAATATATTAATTTTATTGTTCTGATTATAAATATTTATATGATTACATTATTTTTATATTACATTATATTATTAATATATTCTTATTATATTGTTATTATGTTATTATTATTATGTTATTAGTTTGCATCTACCGACTCCAGGCCCTGGCTGTCGATTCAGCACCCATTGCAGAGTCTCGGCTGCCTGAAAAGTTTCAGGCCGGCGCACGGGTTCGGCTTGTCTTGCGCTTACGAGCTTACATGGCACGCATGCGGGTCTCAGCGCTGTGATCTCGAAAGTGCGAAATTTGCGTGGTGGGCCTTATTTAAGTTGCACGAATCGTGCCGAAGCTTTCCACTTGCCGCCCTTCCATAACTTGCCATGAACTTGCCTGCTAAAGCATCCAACCAGGGATAAGTTGACTGAAACATACTGAAACTGAAACCGACCCTGGCAGTGGCCTTGAGGCAATCGCGCGCCACCTCCTGGGAAGGGGCATCGAACAACGGCTCAGAAGCTGGCAACACATGGACAGAGTTCCTGAAATCTCATATGCCAAGCCATGGAGCCTTCAAACCCCTCAGATCCTTTGCCTTTACCCGAAGGCTCCTCGCCAACCCTCCGACAGCGGTACACTGGGAGAATGGATATTGGGGACTATTATTGGGGATTATTTCGGATCCGTTCCCCCATTCCCTACTAAGAACCAGACAGATTGTGCATGTGACCAAGCGCCTGCAAAGTGATCCGAACTCTGCGACTCTCCGCCGGGCTGAGCAGCGGGCCCCGAGCTCGGCAAAACTCAAGTCTCCCAGTACCTGAAGCGAAGGACATATGGTGCATTAACTTTTCTTTTTCTGAATAGTTTTCATAACTAAATGGAAACCGAATTGCCTGTGGTAGCCTTCGGGCCTTCAGGGGCTTGCAGGCAGTTGCGAGATAAGGCCTTGCTGGTTTTAGGCAAGCTTCAAGCACAGCCTGAGACCGTTCAGGGCATCTCTCTTTCTTGTTTTCAGCCCGGTATCGCCTCGCACATACTTATTTTTCTTCTCTGGCCTCGCGTCTTCTCTCTTTTCTAGTTCTCCGTGATTTTCAAAAAGCGGAGCACCGTTGGGGCCGCCGAAGCCGACAGCAGGCGTTCCCTGCAAAGAACTCTGAGGCTCTGAGCTCTTCGAGAGGCGTTCTGGGGACTCGAACTACTGTAGGGCCCGGGACGCTTTCGAGGCTGTGACTGTGGGAATTCCAGAGTCCGTAAACGGAGCTTGGATAAGCCAGACTGCAACAGTAAGAGCAAAGCCAACACAACCTGGGACTTTTTGTCTGTCACATGAGCAGGTGAGGTAGAGAACAAATAGTGTCCGGCCGTAGAATAAATCATGACCGGCTGACGTGGGTTCTGATCGAGCACACATGTATACAGTTCACGTGAATGGACATGGACCATGAAACGATCTAAGCCTGAAGACTTCTGAGCAGTGATGTTGAGTCTAGTCAGCAAGGCCCGGGCCACCGGGTGATTACGTACTCGGATTCAAGGAGTCGCAGTTCAGAGCTCACGGCTTGAGTCGATTCTTCTGTGCTCCAGTCAGCTGGGGCCCGTGCAGCCGCACGGCTTCCAAGGGGCTAGCCGCTTCCTGGCCACAATGCCGCCAATTCGAGTCGGTACAGCGCTGAGGCACTGAGTCCCTATACTACTAGTACCTTCAGACCGGCGCTGCGGCAAACTGCAAAGAACAGGTTACGTGGAACAGCTGTGTGACTTGCTCACTCGAGTGACTTTAGATGCTGAACGGCCTCACCCTCACCTTAACATCCCTCAACTCCTCATTTCCAGAGCACCAATGCCAATTTTTGTGTAACCTGGAATTCTTCACAACAAAATCATGATCAGAAGCACGTACCTTGTCCGAGACTCCAAACTTAACCGTTGGACCCTGCGCACCGAACGCACCGCGAATGCCACTTGCTGCTGCTTCCCGGCAGTCTTTGCCGGAAGTGCTGCCACCGACTGCCTCCACAGGAGGCAAAGCACAGGCTACCAGCAGAAGATCGTGTGAGTCCACTAGTTGTCTACATAGAGGTTCGTTCATGGCCACGGGCAACAAAGCCAGAGAATTGAATGGGAGGGGCATGTAGAAGCCATAGAAAGGTAAAGGACAAATTCAGGAGTAGGGCATCCTTCCACTGCCTCATCCTGTGGGTCGCATGGGGCCTTCTCTTCCGTTTCCTATCGGTCCAGTCTTCCAGAAGCGAGCAAGTGCGGCGAGTGCCGCGACGTTCCGCCGACACAACATTGCTGTGAGATGTGAAGCTCGATGTGTCGAAGGAAGAGCGGATGCCACAGGCACCAGGGACCCAGGGACCCGGCTTGTTTCAAATCAGCTTTTTCTTCAGATTACCCCGAGCAATGCGAGATCTCAGCCTGGCCGAGCATCCGTGTCGAGAGAACTTGTACCATCACAGACCACTGGTTGTTCTAGATCCTCCGCCTCTTTCGCCGTCGTGGCGGGTAAGCCACGGTGTGTAGAGAGCAGTGCTGCCACAGCCAACATTCAAACGACCCTGCTTTTTGGGCAGCCATGTAGACTCGTCGGTTCATAAGGGCTCTCGGTGCCTTTGCATTCCAACCCTGCATCATCAAGTGCCACTTCCCCCGCGTGCAATTTGAAGTACTTCGGTGTTGTTTCATTCCAGCAATGAAAAGCTGCAGGCTGTGCTGGCTGCGACAAAGGCCCAATATTGTCGACTTCAGAAACTCCACGACGTTGTTTCGATAACCCAGCATCTTTCGCCGAAAAGCAATGCTCGCTTGCTCAAAACGACTACTAAGTACCATGGTAGTATCTCGGCATGGGGATCTCGATATCCAGACTTTCTCTTGTCGTTGCTCCAACACATGCAGAGAGTCTGGATGCAGGCTTTTCGGTAATCTTGGCAGCTCTGCATGGGTCTCTGAGCAGTGTTCGACTAGTTGCGAACGCTGTGGCATTTATCGCTTTCGATGTTTCGGGTTCCCGGCAGTTGGCACATCAGTTTTCTGGGAATACGAAATCAGGCAGTGACGGTCGTTGAAAGGGCTTCTTGGAGAGAGCCTCCAAGCTTGAAGGATCCCGCAAGTGTCGCAAAAACCTCCCACGAACGCTAGAAATCCACCATGCCAGACCTGAAGCGAGAGAAGACCGGTGATCTTGAGACGCATGCGAACAAGACAGGGGACAATGCCTTGCCCAACTGGAAAAGTGCACCATGGTTCCCACATATCGAATACGGCCCCAATTAAAATCCCAATTAGAACCTCCTCGTATGTAACTCACGACTCACGCAATTCCCGCCTCTCTTGAGAGGAGTCGCTTGTACCTCAGGAGAAGTCTCTGAAGCTCACTGCCGATCACAAATCAACGGCCAGTACGTGTCTCGGCATCCTAGGGTTCTAACTCCCCAAGGTGCCTCGCCTCCCCAGAATTCTTCGGCCGTAAGCTGATGATCTTCAGGCCGGTATGGCTCCTGAATGTCTGACCGAACTGACCCTCAACACTTTCCGCTTCATTCATCAGCAACTGGAGGTGTCAATCATCCTGCTGACGGATGTACTGCTTTACGGGTGCATCTAGAATCTAAAGTGGTGGTCCTGTCCTGAAGACAGGCATTCTCAAGGAGCCGGCCAGCATCGACTAACTGTGAAGCATCAAAAGCCTCACAAATTTGATCGGATCTCTTGAAAGTGAAGGCCATCTGCGAATGGAAGCTTTGCCAGCTGCTCGTAACATGGATCAGACTTTTTGCCGACAGGCCTGCGAACTGGGTTGGGATGGCTGCGACATCTCGAGCACCTCCTGGTTACACGCATACAAAGCACCTACAGTCTCGTCTACCTGATATGACAGGAAGCAACCTTGCAACGTCTTCTGCTGTCTCGTCGTTTCCTTATTATGTGCTATCTGTGCCTGAAATCTTGGAGGTGACCCTCCGCGCTCCTGTCGCTTCTGCGGCCGCTCTGGCACCATGCAGGCGGGTTCCGACGGCCCCTAGTGAGGGGCGCATGTCGCAATTTGTGAAGCATGTGAGATGCTCAAAGGTAGCAAGTAAATCACTCTGTGCTCACTGGTGCTCGGTGACTGCTGCTTTTCAGCATCTCGATGGTACCTTTGCCACCTCGTGAGCCGAACTACACCTCATACATCCTGATACTAAGTACCCGCCCCCGGACCTGACTTCCGAAACCGTGGAGGACGTGGCCTTGTTGGTGGCAGCTGGAACTTCCATGACCAGCGGCGCTTCAACCGCTTCCTCCTCACGGAAGCTTCAGTTTGTTCATCAAACTTGCAAACATACTCTGCTGATCTGGACTGCATGTTGGGAAGCCTGGCACTGCTTGATCACGGATTCTAAGCCGACACACTCTGCTGTCTGAGTGGTGACACTGGACTGCTGCTACTGCAAGATTGTCACGATCTCCCCGCGGGCAGAGCTTTGCGGGCACTAGCTTCAACTGGTGGGGCCCTCGAATGCCGAGGGACGTGTCGTCAAGATTCCGACGAGGGGAACAGCTTAAATTAAACAAGAGCTGCTCCAAGCGCCGTCAGAGAAGCTCCCGCACTCTACGGCGTCCAGAAACCTGAAACCCCGTGCCTCGGAAGAGAAGCCAGCCCACATCTCCTGCATCGGTGTCTACCCTTCCTAGAAGATCGAGGGCTAAGGAACGAGATATGGCTTCTTGGGCGCTTCAGTAGTGACATCTCTCGCTTGTCGTGCCATTCCTGCTTTGCGTGTTGTTAAAGAGGCGGGAGAGGGAGAGAGCGCAAGAGAGTTCCTCAAACCTGCGGCAGATGCAAGGACGCAGACACGAGACGTGTTGCGACGACAAGTACTGACTTAACGGTCCCTGGCTCCTCCTGAGTCAGCACGTGGTCCTCAGGCCGATACGGCTCACTCAGGACTGCATCACGCAAATGCCTGGCTGGCAGGGAGGGAGGCATATAGCCCCCTTGCAAATCCAACCCGTCCATCCATCTCAAACCGTCTTGCCCGGAAACGCGAGCTAGGACAAACGAGACAGAAAATGACGGAAGGAAGTGTTCAGCAGCCGTTCCCCTTTATCCACCAAAACCAAAACATGCAAGTGGTGATTTTATGAGTGTCTACGAATGACCGGACGGTTTTGTGGCAGGAACTCGCGAACAGTGGCTTGACGCTTGAGATGCAACAGCAGAAGCACAGCGGGCACCTGAGGTCATCGTGCGGGCCAGGCACGAAGCCTTCGCATCAAGCAAGGATCGGGGACGAGCTCGTCTTGCACCCATTATTGATTATTGTAGGTTCACACGGTGCAAGCAAGGTCGAAGAGGCAATGCCGGCAACCATACACCCCTTGTTCAGCTGCCAGCTGCTTCCAAGGCACTCCTCGCAGATGCAACATCCGTGCTGCTGGCTGCAGCCGCTCTGGCTGCGCCCCTCTGCTGCAGATCTGCCTGCACAGGCAAGAAAAGACCAAAAACCGCAACGAACCTGGCCCCTGCGACTTCCTGGTCTTCCAGCACTTCCCCAAAACCGAAATCATCTCCCAGAGTTATTCAACCGAGACGAGTAGAGTCGTAGAGCGTCAGAGCGAGCGCCGCTTCTCGGTTTAGTAGTCTTGGGATTCCTTGGCGGAGTTCTCCGATGCGACCAGTCCCCGAATCTGCGGCAGTCTCACGTTACTTTCTGACGGCTCTCCGTGGCAACGTCTGTCGTTCTTCGAAACTCACCAATCCTCTGTTGAGGGCAGTAGTTGCCCTACACGGAAAATGCACTCGCAAGATGTACCTTTTAGAACATCGCACAAAATCGTGATGGGAAGCCAGGCGGGCGTTGGAGCGACCCGGAGCTGCCTCCTGCCCCCCTTTGAAAATGAATGAAAATCCACACCTCTATTGAGTCCTCTGCATGGCGAATTAACAGACCCACAGCATTGCTCCGAGAAGCGGTGCCAATGCGGCCGTCAGCATGCTGGTGCTGCTCGTCTCATCGTCGTGGTCGTGGTCGTGGTCATGTCCATGCCCGTGGCCCTCTGGTGCACACGCCATGGAGGGCGGCAGCGCCAGAGCAGCCCGTGATGCAGGCGTGAAAGACAACGACATGCTCGACACCGCATGGTCGGCGTGGCCCCCAAGAACCTCTGCAAGGTCGACCGTGACAACACGTGGACTGCCAGCAGCGGCAACGATGTGCACCACACCGTGGCCGGCAACCATAGCAGTATCAGCACAGTCGATGGCACTATCAAACACGGATGCAACAGCCATAGTTCCAGCCGCAGTGCCGTCCACCTCCGCCACTGACAGACTCCCATCCTTGGTCAACACGGCCACGTGCGTTCCGTCGTCTGCGACCGCTTGGTCCACGGCCCAGTGGCACACGTCGTTCTCGGATGTGCTGCGAGTTACTTCCAACAAGCTCGCAGCAGCCACCGACCCCGTGGCAGACATCGGAGCCACGTATCTTGGAGCCGAAACTCCAAGCGGGTAGAGGTCCGCAAGGAAAAGGCTGCCTGGCGTGTATTTTCTCACGGTTCCAGACCGGTACTCCAGCGATGCATTCGGCTTGGGAAATGCGACTCTCTCCCATGAAACAGGCTCACTGGCTTGACCATTGTACGTCCCGCGCAACCAGCCACCTGACCCGCAGCCTGTGACAAACGTGTTGCCGACTTTGGCGGCACCGTGAAATGCAGGACAGCTGGGCGACGACTCATTGCCAATCTCCTGCAGCACTGCACCTGCAGCACTTGCCACAGCAAAGCTGCCGGGCAGCGATGATGTGCCATCCACCCTCATCTTCCTTGCATCCGTGGACAGAGACATGACGAAGTGGTTGTCGCTGAGTGCATATGAAACTCCGTGGTGAGCTCCATCAATGGGCACTTCGACTACAACTGGCGTGGTCGACAAACTGGACTCTTTCACGAACACTGCCGATGAATTGTGCATGTCTTCGGCTAGATCTGAAGACCAAACACCATCCATGAAGACGTTCACATAACCAGCTGAGTACGTAGTATGCGTCGGCTTCCAGCCAGTCAAGGTAAAGTCATGTGCTCTCGGAGTGCTTTTGACGACGTCGACATGATCTCCATGGTCATCCGCAGAGAATCCTGGACTGTAGAAGTGTACCGAGCCCTGCGCAGTAGAACCACGATCAACCGCAATAACTGTAGCCATGTCTGTGTCCGTTGCCATCAGGCGGGCCCCTGCTATTGGCGCGTCGAGGCTTGCCACTACTACCCCATCCGCATCATCAAGGTCAAGGACGTGAACCTTGGACGCATCCTTGTCGGCAACAAAGAGCCTCCCTTTCGTGCAGGTCTGGTGTGCTTTCACGCTCAGGAAGCTTAGCCAAAGCAAAACGAACCTGGCCATGGCTGTGCCTGCAGAGTCAAAGAGGGCTGGGCACAAAAATGAAACTCTGAAGAGGTCTTGAATGCTCGGAGCCACATCACCAGCCGTATGCCGTACGCACCCCTCATCCCCACGTCGGGAGGCGTAGAAGGGCCATATCCCCGCAACACAATTTCAGAAATATCGGTGCCTGGCCCTGGCCGGCATCGTCCAGCTGCGCCAAGCGCGCCTCCAGCGCCTCTGGGGAGCAGAAAAGTGGGGGCGGAAGCGGGATGCGCATCCCTATAGTGACTAGGCACAACGCCAGCTCGATTCTCCGTGCACTTTTTCTCTACGATCTTCGACGCAAGCATATCCGTTGTAGCGTACATGCAGAGGGCGGCAAGAAAGCGCAGGACAAAGCTCTGGATCGCAACTGCCCAGGCGGGAGTCAGTTTTTGATATCAAGCCGCTCGCATGGAGTCGCGCTCGAGGTTGTCCCAATCCTGGTGATTGAACGAGAGACAATTCGGAAAAATGCACAACACAGTAGCTCCGAGCCACGACCTCCTGTAACCTCCGGCTTCAGACCCCTGAGTACTTCACCTTCGCCTCCTCAGTCCCGATTCCCACAGTGCCATCGCAGGGGCCTCGTCGTCTCCCTGAGACTCATGCAAGAAGCCGTGAGTCCTAAGTCACAAGCGGCCTGTCCTGCTCATAGTCTGATGAAGACTCGCCGTCGGACATGGCGCGCAAGGCTACAGCATGCAAGCTAAAAGATTCGCGGCTCTGAGGCTGTATTGCGGGGTTACAGGGTGCAGCGCCGCTTGTCGGGCGCCGGAAACACACTGAATCAGCTTCACTGCTCGCCGGTTGCATCCAATGTGCCGAGGCGGTTTCTCGAATGAGTGCAATTCCAGTCAAGACGAAGCGCTCACAAGCACCTCCTAAATGTCGCTCTGGCTTGAGGTCGCCTGGACGATCGGGACTGCAAGACCTCTGCGCTGTAGTTCTCTGGACACACTCTGGGAGGTTGCAGCTTCGAGGTCGACAAAAGCACGAAGACACGCTGCACCGAGTGCAACTCAAACCCAGCAGCAGACATGAAAAGAAAAGATAGTGGGGTGCCTCGCCACCGTGCCGCGACCGCATAGTTTGGTGGAACACCATCTATGTTGGAACCGGCATCTTCTCAAGGTCGTTGCTGAATCCTCTCTTTGAAGAGGCACTGCTCAACAGTGCCGGTTTTACCAGTATCCGGGAGTTGAAACCCTTGGCAGGCGTAACATCTTGGATTGACACCAAGAACAGACCTCAAGGAGAAAACTTGTTTCCGAAACCCCAACCCCAAAAGCAGATGCTGGTGAACAGTAAGAGGATATGCTGAGGATCCAACCCCCAAACCCCATGAAGGAAATGTTGCTGAGCCAACCCTAATACGTTGGGGAGCAAACCCAAACCGCAAAAGGACGTGTTGACAAACCCAAACCCTAGAACGAGGTGTTGGTGAGCCAACCCCAAACCCTATAAAGGAGATGCTGCTGAGCCCCCTCCAACCCCTCCCCCTTGAAACCTGCAAAAACCCTTGCGGTCACGGGTGACACCGCAAGCGAAAAGCTCGACCCTACTTTTGTGCACGGCGCTTGGCGCAATGACAACTTCTTGAGCCAGTGCCTTTCAGGCATAGGCCACTGAGTGACACGGCATGTCAATTGCACTACTATCATGCTCTAGCATGTCCTCCGGTTGCACTCATAAACTGTGGTATTTAGATGTAAATATCCGCAAATCTCCTGATCGAGCCGAAACCAGAGGCTGCTAGATAAAGTCTGGGTCCTTGTGATTTGGGCTTCGCTCCATGGCCCCCATTTTGCCGGATCTCCCAGCCTGAGGTCCGGGGGGGAGCCATGAAGTGGATCCCTTTCAGGACCCGACTTCACAACCACTCTCCCACAAGGGAGGGGCACTCTAGACTCTACATGGGCCGCACGCAGCTCACAACTGGATCGCGGTGAAACGGCTGCTGACTTAATATCGCCTCGGAAGCACAAGTAACAGACACCTGAAGCTTTCTACACGCGGACGTGCGCAAGCACCAAGAGCGACAAAAACACATCTCCATCTCGCTCTGAATGGACCTCTAAGCCTCCCCATACCCAGAGGCTGTGACAGCGGGGATAACTTCAGGAGCTCCTGGCATCAATTGGTCTGTCGCAAGCCTGATGATGTCTTTGGCATGGCTTACCACTGACCCTCTCGACAGGCACAATTTGCCAGCTAAACCGCGGAGTCCGCTGGGCAAAAGGGGGAGTAGTGAGTAGCACCAGTCCTTCATCGTCGTGGTGGCGAAGTCTTCGGAGACCAGGAGGGACAGCATCCGGTGGCCCCAGGCCGCGGCCTGCTTTTGAGCATATTTTGAAAGCTCCCCCGCTCCCCAAAAGACATGCCTGGCCTCCTTAGGCGACCAATTGCGGCCCGCAGACTTCTCTGCTTGTCGCAGGTGGTTGCAGATGACCTGTGGACAGTGGGTGGCTCGAGCGTCGAGCGTCAACTGGTCTCCGGTGTCTCAATGTCTGGGATGGCCGATCTCAGGAGATTGCAGAATTGTAACCTTCCACAGACTACTGGAGACGAGGGGCAGTCCCGACAGATTCAGGCACAAAGCCACTTTTTTGAGCCAACTAACCGTGCCCGTGTGCCCATGCCCGGCCGCTGCGGCGTTGGCGCGCATGTCACCCAGCAACCGCCGCAGGGAGGTAATCTCACCCTCGAGCGCGCGGACATCGGCCCGAACCTGATAGAAAAGCAATGCGGTTCAGCATGTTGTATGGATGCCGCGGAGGAATCGCGTCAAAGGCAGGCCAGGCCTTCTCGATTGGGACCGCAGGCGTGTTGTCCCTCTCCTGCGCGAGTTTGCGGGTGTTGGCATGCATGCAGCTGCGCCTTTCGCAGATCCTTGGTCCGCTGCATGTCCGAGCCGAAGTCGCTAGTGCTCTCGCCTCATGAAACAGGAATGATTCTCTGATGTTCTTGGCCATGAGCAAAACAAGCAGGTGGCTCGCCTCCGATGTTCGATGGGGCGACGGAATCCCCGCAGGCAGACTCGGGCCTCGGAGATGTACTAAAGACCCAGAGCCCAGAGCCTTTGCCGAACCAACCTGCGCTGGGCGCTGGCCGCATTCCTCCCAAGGGCAGCGCAGGTTGGATGGCTCCATCTGCATCGTTTTCTCCTCCTGCTCCGAGGAAGCCTCAGGAGCTCTGAGGCTCAAACCCGGGCTCGGACCCGCTCAGGGCTGTTCTACCCTACACGGCCATAGCCAATCTAGTCCGCGCGCCCCACAGCCCCTTGACAGCAAGCTTGCACTTCCAAGACGGTGAGGCCCTTGCAGTTGTGCTCAGCTTCTGCTGCCGCAGTTCCTTAGATTTCAACTGTCGCGCGAGGAGGTGGTCGACGACTGCTCAGCAGCTGGCAGCGTTTCGCTTCTGGCCAACTTGTACTACGGCGTAGCCAGAAAAAGCACAAAGCCAACATGAGAAAAGCTTCGAGAGTTCGCACAAAGAGATCTTCGAAGCGCTCCGCCTTCGTTTTATCGATCATCTGCTGTACCTCGGGACAAGGACATGAACGGCGGCGACTGCATCCACAGCCTGGCAATCTCTCGAGTTCTCAGTGTCTCTCGTCTCTGACAGGTTGAGAAACTCGCATCCGTCCGCCTAGTTCAGCTATGCCTCAAACATGAACTTCTCGCGCTATTGTCGTGCATGCTTTCGTCTGCCCACAAGCCAGAGCCACGACCATCGAAGCTGTAGTAGGATATTCCGAGGCTCACGCGTCCTCGCGCACGGGCTTTAGTGCCTGTCAGGTTGGGCAATGGCAGCCGGACACACCCAGAACTCCGGATTGAGCGAGGGCGATCCCAAATATGTCCCGCATGCCTCGCGGCGAAGGCTCAGCAGCTGCGTCTCCGCATCCTAGCCGTACAGCTTTGTGAGCAGGATCACTCAATCGCTCTCAGAGCATGGAAGCTGGCCCGTATCCACGGGCTTCTGATTCAAGGTTCGGCACTTGTGCTTGACAGTGATGTCGCTCAGAGGAATGTCAGGCAAGGTCTTACATGGGCTTGCTGCCAACTGCGGCTTGACGACATTCGCAACTGCATCACGCAGATCGCCTTTGGAGCCTAAACCAACCGAGTTGTGGCTCACCAGCTGACGGCTAACCCACCCAGGAATTACGTTTTAGTATCAGAGACGGCCAAGCAGACACACCCAAATCGAGTTTGGGCCGCGCGCGGATTCCTTCAACTTTTCGCAAATTATTCTTTCGACCAGTGACCGCGGATTCTGTCAACCCGAAAATGCGGATGCATGCCACCGCAAAACCTGGTTCCTTCAACCCCGACACACAGATTCACTCAACCATGGCCCAGGGAATAATTCCTTCTCCCCAAACAACTGCTTCGTTCTTCCCATACGCCAAGACTCGCTCAACTACGGCCACGCAGATTCTTGTGCCCCGCCCTTGCCCGCTACCCCAACCACAAAGACTTACTCAACCACGGACACGGGGATTCTTGTGCCCCGCCTTCGCCCGCTCCTCTAACCACCCGCACCGCACTGCGACTAGCACAAGCACTACCACGACCACCACCAGCACCAGCACCACCGCCACCACCGCCACCACCACCAGCACCACCACCATGACGACTACAAGTACCACCCGTCTTTGAAAGCCTTTGGGATCTCGGCATGTAAATGTCTAGGGCTATCTGAAACTCGCTTCAGGCCCAAAATGCATCAAGGACGAAGCATGCAGAGCTGTGGAAGCCTTTTTCACCTTGCTTGCTCACACTCCAAACCAGATCGATGGTTGAGCTGATCTAGGTATGGTAGGCATGGCATGGCACGGGACGCGTGCTTGCATGTACGCAAGTAGGTCTGCAGATGAACGCAGTCAAGTACGTGTGTATGTATGCACGCATGTATCTAGGGACGTAATGCATGCATGCCTGGTTCAGGGCGCCGGTCATTCTTTAAGGGTA